CTTAAATAAAATTTCAAAAATACGGTTTTAAGGTTTAATCACACGTGTGCACCGCTCGCGTCGTCTTGTTCTAAAAACCTCTTCTTCTTCCTTCAATAAAGTTACAAAAATATGTTTAAAGGTTTAACCACGTTGACCGCTCGCGTCGTCCTTGTGCTAAAAACCTTGTTTCTTCTTTTCTTAAATAAAATTTCAAAAATACGTTGAAAGATTGACACTCCGTTGATCGTTCGCCTCGGGTCCTAGTGTTCATACTTTTCTCTCTTATTTTACTATATCAAACGAGGTATGAGTGCTCGTGCGATCGTCACAATCAGCCTAGCACTCAAATGTCTCAATCTTCCTAAATAAGCAGATAACAGTATGAGTGGAAATCTGTGATCGTTCCATCGCCTAGTGCTTAATATAGTATCTCTCTGTCAAACATAATTAAAAGTATTTAATATCATTTTAAAGGAATGATTACTCGTGCGACCGTTCGCGTCGGCCTAGTACTCGTTACCTTCTTTTTCTCGAAAATATTAAAAATATAAAATCTCCAAAAATTAAAAATACATATGCTTTTCCAAACAACACCAATCTTTCATCTAACTACGTAACCCGGATGTCTCAGTTTGAATGGAGAATACGTAGGAGCAAGGTCAATCCTTGTCGGCCCAAAAAACACAAATATAATTTGTTTTATTTTAGATTTTATTTTAGGGGAAATAACATTTTGAAAACCACATCATATTCGGCATTTATTAAAGGTCTGCCCTTAGGGCACGTTGTGGGGTGCTAGACACCTTCCCCACGCTAACCGACTCCCGAACCCAATCTTTGTTTTCGTGGACCGTGCTTTATTTTATGAGGTTTTTTCCATAGTTTTGCCCATAATAAACTATGGTGGCGACTCCAAATCTCTTTTCAAAACCCGTTTCTTTTTTTGGATCGTCGTCCCGTCGCGATTCCGGTTGCGACAATCTATATGTTATATATACACAGAAAATGATAAATGTAAGACATCCGTGAGACTAAGATGTGTGAGGAATGTGAACTATATATGTTTTTTTGTATATTCCATATTTCCTCTTCTTTTAATGAAGTTTTATATTTTGGATTTTCTTTTTGTAATCTTAAATGACGGATTGTAATGTATATTTGTTAAAAATAATTTTAGTTTTTTATTTTAAAATTATGTTTATAAATTTATTATTATAATAAAATTATATCCACAATCAATTGTGAATAAAAAGACACATCAATTATGTTGAATTTCACACAAATTTCAAAAGCTTATCTTTCTTATCATCCTCTTCTTTTTTTTTTTTTTTAAATCTCATCCTATCTCTTTAAAAGCAAATAAAGTAAATGCACATGTCTCCTCCTCTCCCTTGTCAAAAAGGAAATACTTACTATAAAACTCAACTGAAAAATACTTATAATTTCTTTACACTTATAGGTAACTAAAAATTATTAATTTTCATAACAGCTATTTTAACATAACCATTAATTTAATTATCAAAAGTATTATTTTTCTCTCCTAATTAACCCTTCAAATTTTGAAGACTAACAAAAATTCTTAAGCATTTTATTTTGAAATGTTTATCCCATTACTTCTAAAAATGGTTGTGATTGAGTTAAATTGGGACATCTTAAGCTATATAGATGATAGTAACCTGCACAAATTGCATGTTGCATGTCTACAAGGCATCCCAATAAGTTGCCAAAACCTGCAAGCAATTGTTATACAAATCACTTTTACTGGACAAAACTTTCGTGATTGAATGACAAGGTAAAAACACTCTAACATATATATATATATATAATAAGAGATAAGCCCACGATATAAAAAAAACTTCTTTTTATTATTAGGTTTAATATATCATTTAATCCCTATTTTTAAGGGTTTAGTTCAAAGTAATCTTATTTTTCAAAGACCTCATATTTCGTTAAAAAATGTTCAATAAACATAACAATGCAAATGCCACATCCATCTCCAGACAAACCCTAATTTCTCTCCAAGAAACCCTAACCGTCGCACCATCCAGCGTCGTCACCGCCATCCTCGCCGATAGCCGTCCTCTCCAACGCATCATGTGCTATCACCAAAGCGTCTTCTCCCTTCTGTTGCACATCCATCACCTTCGCATCTCACCTTCGTTCTTGCGCCACCACCCAATGTGATCCCTTGCTATGCCGCGACCACCAATCTTCACCATTTTCACCCCTCGCACCAGTCAAATCGTCATCGCACCAGCAGCACTGCCGTCCAATCTCCACCACATAATCGTCCACCACTAACCACTAGCCAAATCGCTAGCTACTGCAGATCGCGAATCGCCACTCTTCTCCACCACTAATCGCTTCGCTGCTTGCCTCCACCTGCAACCACAATCAGACCTGCAAGCAAACCGTGGAGACCTAGGGTTTCTCGCGTTCTCGTCGCATAGCTTTAGTGGTGGCGTGTGATGCATTGGAGAGGACGGTTGCCGACGAGGATGGCGGTAACGGTGCTGGATGGTGCGACGACTAGGGTTTCGTGGAGAGAAATTAGGATTTGTCTGGAGATGGTGATGATGACATGGCAGAGACTTTTTTTTAAATTAAAAAATCATTTAAGTCCACCTATTAACACGTGTCACGACGGGAGCTAAAAGGACTAGATTAAACATTTTTTTAACGAAATATGGGGTCTTACTGAACTTTTAGGTAGGATTACTTTGAACCAAACTTATAAAAGTAAGGACCATGTATTAAACCTTATTATTATTATTATTATTTTTACTCCATTTATGTTCTGGTGGGATGAGTGTTATTCCCAGTATGTCACATATTGAAAGAATAAAAAAAGGGTAAGCTTTCTTAAAGTTAAAAAGAAAACAAAAAAAGACACTAAAGTGGAAGAAGCACTTCCCTATAGCTAGTGGTCCCAAAGAGACGAGGGTAGTAAAGATTTTGGTTAATCGTATGTTTAAATCTAATGATTGACACCTTTGAAAAAATAAAAATAAATAAATACTTTTTTAATAAACTAAACTTAATTTATGTATATGTAAAGACAAAAAGTTAAGAAGCTAACTTATAAATAACTATGGAGAAACTTATACTAACATTCTCTAAAGCATTTTCTTTAAAAATATTAACGTTAAAAATGAAATATCACGTAAAATCCATCATAATCATATTATATATCTTTTAAAATAGTAATTATAATAGACAATACTTTACTATATATCATAACATGTCATAAAACAACCGTGTAAAAATCAGTATACTAGTATAAGGAATTTAGAAGAAAAATATAAAAAAAAATTCCAGCTCAAAGTAGTTAAAATACAAATTAATTGTTAATTCTAACTTATAGTGTCGTTTTTTTTTTCTTATTATTTTTCTCTTGGTTGTTTTCATGAAGAAGTTCGTTCAAATATACTCTGTATATCAATAATGTAAATTTTTGTAGAATTAGAATATTTTAATTAAATTCAAATTTAAGTAGCTGTTTTTTCCAGTTAAAGACTTTAGAGTATCAACTTCCAATACAACATTAATCTTATTGTTATTATAGGTTGTTTTGGGTAAGTTCTTCATAAATTATAATTTCTTTTTTCTTCTTCCAATTTCATCCCATAGGGGTCCCACCAAAATATGATTCTCTCGCGCCTTATTTCACATCCAACAAAACGGTAAGGAGTACATTTTAACATAGCATAGTTTGTAATATATTTGCATTATTTTAACATAACTTTAAACCTTAAATTAATTGTTGGCTTTGATGATGGGCCTCTAATCCTATTCTTTCTCTGCTTGTGATTAACTAATGTAACTTATCTTCTCGAGTAAGTTGTAATACTATACTACTTACAAGCTTATTTCCATCAACCTTGTTTTCCTTCATTCTCCTGTTGCTTTTTAGTGCTAGTTTGGTATCATTCTGAGAGAGCAGGAAGCACTTCAACCCCAAGTTTGAAAAATGTTTATTACTGGCTTTTTCTTCGTGTTATATTAATATATGTTTTGGTTTTGAAGGTGCTTTGATCATGTTACATCTTAGTCTCCTCTGTCCTGTTAAGGTTTACTGTTCAATTCTGTTGTTGCCTTGTTCCTCTTCATTTCTATCTATTGTTGAATTTATTTAAGTCGGCTTATTTTCCAATTTACTTCAGTGGTGACTCTTGATGGAAAAACCAAATAGCAGTCTCAAACTAGTGAACTTCCTGCAATAGCTGCTTTCTTGTGGTGTTTGTACCAGCAGAGGTTTTCCTTGGGAATATGGTGGCTAAAGTTAGCTTTGGATGTTACTTCAGCTGAGATAACAGGATCAAGAATCAATTAGTCATCCACAAGCTGTAGGTATTGAAAATACCTCAGAAATGGCAAGGCAGCAAGGTTCCAAGAAGAACAAGATGAAGGATGAAAGCAACAAAACAGTACCCTATTTCAAACTTTTTTCATTTGCAGACTCTTCAGATTATCTACTGATGTTTGTCGGGATAGTAAGCGCTGTTGGAAATGGAATAACTAAGGCTTCAACGAATATAGTTATGGGAGAAGCAATTGATGCTTTTACACAACATGGCAACACTAAACATTTAGTTCATGAAGTTTCCAAGGTAATCACTAGCATCCCTTCTTTTTTTCTGTTTAACAATTTTATGGAAATTGCTTAATTGCATAAGAACTAATTCAAGTTTGAGAAGAACTGTTTGGTTTCAAATTTCCCTCATGTCTATGTCATAACACATAATGATTTGTTTCATGCCCAGGTGTCTCTGAAGTTTGCAGTAATAGGTGTAGCTTCCTTTATGACAGCTTTTCTACGTGAGCATGCCACTTCTCTGCTCATTATTTATCCTGTATAACTAGAAAAGAAAATTATTCTTAGATAACAATGAAAGGAGTAATTCAAACATGTACCATTACAGAGTTGGCTTGTTGGGTGTCCACCGGGGAGAGGCAGGCAGCGAGAATACGAGGCTTATACCTCAAAGCAATTTTGAGGCAAGATATTAGCTTCTTCGACAAGGAAACCAACACTGCTGAGGTTGTTGGAAGGATATCAGGTGACACATTTCTTATTCAAGAAGCCATGGGAGACAAGGTATTAATGGGTGACACAGTTCTTCAAAACCCAAATCATCACCATTTTATCAGAGTAAAATAAGAATGACTTTTTTTTCTCATTTTGTGAAATATACCAGGTAGGAAAATTCATACAGTGTGTGGCATGCTTTTTAGGAGGTATAGTCATAGCATTCATCAAGGGTTGGCTTCTAACCCTTGTCCTTCTATCTTGTGTTCCACCTCTTGTTTTCTCCGGTTCCATAATGAGCTTCGCGTTCGCAAAGTTGGCATCCAGCGGACAAGCAGCTTATTCTGAAGCAGCAATCGTAGTAGATCGCACAATTGGTTCAATTCGAACTGTATGTGAATCATTATAACTTAACTTTCAGGTTGTTCTTTTCCATCCCAAGACTGCAGCAGCATATAAAGTTCCTCCATGCAGGTTGCATCATTTACGGGCGAGAATCAAGCCATAATTCAATACAGTCAATCCTTAACCGATGCTTACAGGACTGCAGTGCAAGACGGAATGGCTGCTGGTTTAGGCCTTGGTTCAATCCGTTTATTTATCAACAGTAGCTTTGCATTGGCTGTATGGTTCGGAGGGAAGATGGTACTAGAGAAAGGCTATACAGGAGGTGAAGTCATGAGTATATTTTACGCCCTATTTTTTGGCTCCATGTAAGCTAGTTTCTGCTTTAACATCTATTTCGCCGAAGCATCCATCATATATCTTACAATTTTTCTCCAAAGCTTGGCAGGAAAACTTGATATGCTTTTCAATGTTAATATTATTTTTCAGGTCGTTGGGGCAGGCTTTTACAAGTTTAACTGCATTCACTGCAGGACAGGCTGCCGCCTTTGAAATATTTGAAACAATAGATAGGCAGCCAAAAATTGATGCTTATGATACTGCAGGTCGACAGGTAGATGATATTTCTGGAGATATAGAACTTAGGGAGGTTTGCTTTTGTTATCCTTCAAGGCCAGATGAATTGATACTCAATGGATGTTCCATTTCAATATCAAGTGGCACTACTGCAGCTTTGGTTGGGAAAAGTGGCAGTGGGAAATCAACAGTTATTAGTCTGATTGAGAGATTTTATGATCCACAAGCCGGAGAAGTTCTCATTGACGGCATCAACCTCAGAGAATTTCAATTGAAATGGATCAGACAGAAAATAGGCCTTGTCAGCCAGGAACCAGTCCTTTTTACTGGTAGCATCAAAGAAAATATTGCTTATGGTAAGGAAGGGGCAACAGATGAAGAAATCAGAGCTGCAATTGAACTTGCTAATGCAGCCAAATTCATAGATAGATTTCCGCATGTGAGCTCACAGATTCGTCTTTTGAAATTTGCCATGTTGTGCTTATTCAACAATATTAATTTCAAATAATACAATACAAAGTCTAATATATTTATTACCTCATTGGTTGTGTAAAATTGTGATTTTAGGGACATGATATGATTGTCGGTGAGCATGGTACACAGCTCTCTGGGGGTCAAAAGCAAAGAATTGCCATAGCACGGGCAATTCTAAAAGATCCAAGAATTCTACTCCTTGATGAAGCTACAAGTGCCCTCGATGCTGAGTCTGAGAGAGTGGTCCAAGAGACACTGGACAAAATTATGATAAACCGAACAACTGTCATTGTAGCACATCGCCTAAACACAATAAGGAATGCCGATACAATTGCTGTTATTCATCAAGGAAGAGTAGTAGAAAATGGTAGATATACTATGTTGCTACATGAATGGAACTCATTGTGACAATTTGCTTTCATGTTTTTCTGTCTCTAGCACACTTGCACGTCATCATTTTCCTTCATATATGCATTATTGCATTCTTATCTTTCAATTGTTTAGGTGTCCATGCTGACCTCATTAAAGATCCTGATGGAGCTTACAGCCAACTCATTAGATTGCAAGAAATTAACAGGCACTCAGATGTTACAAATGACTCGGGAAAGCTAAAAAGCAGCAGTCGTCACTCATGCAGAATATCAAATGATATGCCTACTACACTTAATCTCTTGAAAACATCAGAAGGAGAACCTGAAGTTCTTACTCCAGCAGTACCGCATTCCTCTCCAAAAGTCTCGTTCCTTCAACTTGCTTATCTTAACAAGCCTGAAATTGCAGTGATAGTCCTCGGGACTCTAGCAGCCACAGTAACTGGGGCCATACTTCCTCTTGTGGGGTTTCTTACCTCCTGCATGATAAATACTTTCTCTGAGCCAGCAAATGAACTTCGTAAAGACTCAAAGTTTTGGGCTGCAGTATTTATAGCCCTTGGAGCCGCTGGCTTCATATTTCATCCACTAAGGTCCTACTTTTTTGCTGTAGCTGGTTCGAAGTTGATAAAAAGGATCCGGCTAATGTGTTTTGAGAAAATTATTCACATGGAAGTAGCCTGGTTTGACAAAGCTGAGCATTCAAGTGGAGTACTGGGAGCAAGGCTGTCAATTGATGTGGCTTCTATTCGAACTTTTGTTGGGGATGCACTAAGTTTGATGGTTCAAGATATTGCTACAGTAGTTATAGCCTTGGCAATTGCCTTTGAGGCAAACTGGCAGCTTTCTCTCATCATTCTTGTTTTGCTACCACTATTATTAGTAAACGGACAAGTGCAAATGGGGTCCATGCAAGGATCTGTCACTGATGCAAAGGTTTGCAAGTAACTCATATTAAACCAATAGCTAATATGAAAACATGTGAAAATATATAAATTTCGAACATGGTGAGAAAAGGGTGATGTGAAACTTTGGATCTAAATGTAACCTAAATGAATTATGTTGAGTTGCGAGGAGATAGTATCAATTACTGAGTCTATTGAGATATTATGGGGATACGAAGATTACTGTTAACTATTATATTCATTTCTAAGGTGGTAAAGTTTGTTAAAGTGTTAACAATGGTGTAGATTAAATCAAAGTAATGTAGAATAAATTTCGGTGGATCATAGATGAGGTAAATATGGAGAAAAAATGTTTCATATATGGTCATAAAAGAATGCTTCACTATTACAAAAATTTCTACTTCTTCAAATGAACTCTCAATAGTTGCTTTTGTAGGCCTGTGGATTCATGTTTCTCATTGGGTGAAAAGTAATCGCTACAAGTGCTATCATTTACACAATAGATAATGTTTTGGTAAAAGAAAAAAAATAGAAAACAAAGTAAATTATACATCTTCTCATGCATTGTAAAAAGCAACCTATTTTAATTATATGAGAAATCAATGATGAAGAAGCAAATGTATGGTTTGATGAAGAAAAAACCATCAAACGGTAAGAAATATTCTCAAATTTTAACATCTATGTTTCTTTAATACTCCAAGTCTTGATCTTAGCAATTTAAACTTATTGTTTGGAAGTGTCTTCATCATTATATCTCTTAATTGATTTTCAAAACTGCAATGCACCAATCTGATTTCTTATAATTTCTCTACTTCCCTTATTGCATGATATTTAACCTTGATACTCTTTGTTCTTCAATGCTAAACGGGTTCTTTGGAATTGCAATAATAGATTGTTATAAACTCTTAAAACAGTTCCTTCATTCTCCTCTTGGCCAACATCTGAAATTATTTTCTAAGCCAAATGGCTTGATTTGCTGCAGTAGTTGTCTGTTGTATTCTTTGCATCATCAGAACTTCTTGCCTAATCACTACCAAAGTAACCTTAAAGATTTTCACTCTTCTTCTTCTTCAAGATCTGAAGCCCGAGGTCAATCGTGCCTTTGTAATACCTCAAAACTTGTTTTGTTGAACCCATGTGAACTTGGCTTTGAGAGTGCATGAATCGGGATAATAAGCTTGCAACAAAAATTAAATTTGGTCTGGTTGGAAATAGATGCAACAAACTTCCAATCAAAGTTCTATACACAAGTGCATAGCCTTTGGTTCCCATCTTCATCCAAGCACAACTTTTCAATTACCAACCAATGCAGTGGAATTACATTTGCAATTCTACATGTGAAACTTCTTCAAGATCTCCTTGGCATACTTCTTCTAAGAGATGAAGATTCCATCAAATAATTGGAGTATCTCCTACCCAAGAAAATAATTCATTAGACCAAGGTCCATCATTTCAATTCTTGCCCCATATTCATTTTAAATTGTTTAGAGCGTCTGACTCACTCACAAATTCCAAGGAAAGCATCAACATACATGGAGATAGTGAGTTATAATTTATTTTCTCATTTGACATACATATTGGCTTGATTCTCACTTTGTGTAAAGCTTTGCTTCATAAGGTAATCATCAATTTTGTTGTACCATCCCCTTGGAGCTGTGCAGGGCTTTATGAAGCTTGTAAACTTTTATATCATTGGTCAGAAATCCCTCTGGTTGTTTAACAAAGATTCCTTCCTCAAGTAGCCCATTTGGAAAGGTTGACATTGGCATAGGCATCTTCTAATGGTTTGGTGCCCCCCTAACAAGTACTTTAAAATCATTATCTGATACATCTTTTTTTAGACCTTGTACATTTGTTCTTTCAATGTCTAGAAGACTTTGGCTTGGTCTCTTTGCTAGCATCTGATCCCAATTCCACTTGGATAGTTCATCAAACCTCCCATCCCTACTAATGAGGATGTTGTCTGCCTAGAGGTTGTACAGACGATATCCTTGAGTTTATGTTGAAAAAGATGCAAATGTTTTAACCCTGTATGCTTTTGGAATAAAGGCTTATCAAATGCATACAAAAACTGTTATTTTTTTCGAATAAAGTTTTTTTTTCAGATCAAGTTTCGAAAGGTGTTTTTCCTTCCAAAGCCTTGGCTGACAACATATTTTGCAAAAAAAATACAGTTTTTTACTACTTCAATCTAAAATGTCTTCGGGAGACCCATTTGGCCATCTTTATTATTGTTTCTTTCTTTCTTTCACTCGCTCCATTTTGTTGAGGCGTAGGAAATAGTCAACTAGTGTTTAATTCCATTAAAACCACAGAACTTTTCGAACTCTTTTGTTGTATATTCAGTTTCACTATTAGACCGAAGCTTCTTTATTTCACCGTTTGACTCTCTTTCTCAACCATTGTTTTAAACTTCTAAAATACTGTGAAGACTTCAAATTTTTGCTCTAATAATACTTAACACATCCTTGTAAAATCACCAAGGAACAAAAGGAAGTATCTACTGTAATTCAGGAGGCTATGCTCGTAGATCCACAAATGTGCATATAAGCTGCATTTTTATTTTTATTTTGCTCTCCAAGTTACTACAAACAAAAAAGGCAATTTGTTCTATTTTCCATATTGCACATGCATCACTTGAGTCATCCGTTGTCCCTTTGGTGTAGGAAACTTCATCTTCTCATACTAATGTTACCCTAATATATCTCATAAGAATGCTTTTGAAGTTGTTTCTGATTAGGGAAATTTGCCCCCTCATCAAGATCAACATCAGATATTAGCCATCTAGAGGAGAGAGAAGAAACCCAAACTCCAATTGTTTGAGTCAAAGATAAATGTTCGTACTTTTGAACCTTAAGAAAATTACTTGAATACTAATTGTGAGTCTAACCTTAATGACCTACCTATTGCCTTGAGAAAAGGAAAAAGGTCTTGTACCAAGTATCTTATTTTTTAATTTGTGTCTACTAAACACTTTTTTGTGCAACACTAGAGTTTCTCTCAGCCTTTTGATACACTTAGAACCACTACACTCTTTTGTGATAATAAATCAATTATTGGTATTGCTCAGAATCTAGTTTAGCATGATAGGACAAAACATAGAGGTAGACGGACACTTCAACTAGAAAACTGATATACTGCAGAGGAGTACGAAGAGTTGTCATTAACTATTGTATGTATTTCTTGGGAAGCAGAATTCTATATAATGTACCCTCTTCCACTGTTTAGATCAAGTTCTTGAATCAGAATTTCTTTCCTAACCTTTTCAAGTAATTAATCAGACCTATTTCCTTCACCTAATCTTATATTGAAATGGGTAAACGGGTAACCTGCAGAGAAACAAAAAAGGCAACCATTCATCAATGTTACTTGATTGCAACTGGATTTTTTAGTTTTACCAATCTTAGATCCAATGGAAGTTGTGAGAATGATGTGGCAGGGAAAGGATTTTGTCTCTATGTTTAATTAGTACTAATTTCCATTGTACCAATGGTTAATGTGCTCTATATGTTGCACAGAAACTCTACGAAGAAGCAAGTCAAGTAGCAAATGATGCAGTAGGGAATATCAGAACAGTAGCTTCTTTCTGTGCAGAAGAAAAGATGATGGAGTTATACCAGAAGAAATGTTCAGGGACCATCCAGACAGGTATAAGGCAAGGTTTAGTCAGCGGAACAAGTTTTGGGATATCACTCTTCTTGGTGTTCTCAGTTAATGCAGGCAGCTTTTATGCTGCAGCCCGACTTGTCGAGAGCGGCAAAACATCAATCTCAGATGTTTTCCGAGTAAGTTAATTCTATCCTTGTCACCATTTCAGATATAGTGCTTTCTACTCATTGCTGACAAAGTATAAGCTAATATCTCAAATAAATCAAAAAGATGTTTTCTCTTTCTTTCAAATAAACATCATAAATAATTTAGGAGCTATGCTCATCATATTCTGCTACCATTGAACAACTCACTCTAATTTTTCAGGTATTTTTCACTCTCACATTGGCAGCAATAGCAATGACACAATCTGGCTTCATGGCCCCAGGTGCAAGTAAAGCAAAAAGTGCTGTTGCTTCTATATATGCTATTCTTGAGCAGAAATCAAATATAGACCCCAGTGATGAGTCTGGAATGATGTTGCAAGAAGTGAGAGGAGAGATTGAGTTCCACCACGTCACTTTCAAGTATCCAACCAGGCCTGATGTGCTTGTATTCAGAGATCTTTCCTTGACTATTAACGCAGGAGAGGTAACTTACCAACTGATGCATTTATTTAACTGATGCACAATTCTCATAAGAATACACGATATTTTCCAAACATACCATCTCTCTTAAGGGAGAATCTAAGAGTTTGATTATACTGATGGAAATCAGACAATTGCTCTAGCTGGAGAAAGTGGAAGTGGAAAGTCAACAGTAATATCATTATTGCAAAGATTTTATGACCCAGATTCAGGCCAGATAACACTAGATGGAACGGAAATAAAAAATCTACAACTCAAATGGTTTAGGAAGCAGATGGGCCTGGTGAGCCAGGAACCTATACTGTTTAATGACACCATCCGAGCCAATATTGCATATGGAAAAGGTGGTGATGCAACAGAAGCTGAAATTATAGCAGCAGCAGAACTGGCCAACGCGCACAAATTCATTAGCAGTTTGCAACAGGTAAACTACACACAATTCAAGGAACTCAATATTTTCCTAAGACTCGTGCTACAACGAATTATGTGGCAAATTTTTAAATAACTAGACATCGAATTCTAAACACCTTATGAACAAAATTCTGAATTATTGAAAAACAACACATGCAGGGTTACGATACAGTAGTAGGGGAGAGAGGGATTCAACTATCGGGAGGACAGAAGCAACGGGTGGCAATTGCAAGAGCCATAGTGAAGAGTCCAAAAATATTACTGCTAGATGAAGCCACTAGCGCACTAGATGCTGAGTCTGAAAGAGTTGTTCAGGATGCACTTGACCGAGTGAGGGTGGACAAAACAACAATTGTGGTGGCTCACAGGTTATCCACCATAAAGGATGCAGATTCAATTGCAGTGGTTGAACATGGAGTCATTGCAGAGCAAGGAAAGCATGACACTTTGATTAACAAGGGTGGTATCTATGCTTCGTTAGTAGGCTTGCACACAACTCATGCTTCATCTTAGATCCATTATAACTATCAGTACCTATTATCTAATGGTTTTTCACACCGTGTTTGGAAACTCCTTGAGAATGGAGGAATCACATTTAATACAAACATCCGTGAAACCAAACACGCTATCATTCTATGTTAAAGGATCCTTTCTCTATGTTCTACATTCTATGTAATGTAATTTTCAGAAAACTTGAACACCCATTTTTAATGGGTCTTGGGATTACACGCACTAATAATACCCACAATCATCTAACGCCATTCGGGTAAGCAGAATACTAAAATGAAATATTAAAATTAGAAAGGAAAAAAAAAACTATCTTAATTGGAGATTATGAGCTTAACATGTAACATTGGAAAGCACAGAGATAATGAGTGAACATTGTCTGGGATGAAATCAAGGCAGCATACGATGGCGTGCCTCTGTTCCCATTTACCCTTGTTTTATAGAAAATCAAACCTAGTTTGCTTTTCCAAAAAAAAAAAATATCCAAAGAACTTGAAATATGAAAAAAAAATACATATAATTATTGGATTAAATTAAATAATTTTAGGTTAAACGGATAACATACCTTACAATTCACAAACAAAGAATGCTCTCGCCTACAGCAACAAGAAGCTACCGCTTTTATAGCTTTTTGTTTTGGGTGGGCCTGTAGTATGCTGTCTCGTGCAATTGTTTCCTCCACTTCATAATTACTTTCTACACCTCTCTGTTATAATGAAATGTAAACAAAATTAAAATACTTGTACTTCCAAAAATATAAAAAAATGAGATAAAACAGTTAAGAAAGATTATGATTAAGTGATTAAAATTTTAATTTATATACTCATTAGAAAGTAAAATTTTAATATTTTTTTTGTTTCAAAGAAAAAATTATACTAAATTAAAATTAGTTCCGATATATATATACACTATATATATAGTTAGATTTTGGAAAAAAAATTAAAATATTACAAGTTATTATGAATCAATTGAGGTTAATTTATCTTTTTATTCAATGTATAAATTCTAATACAAAAATCACATAATAAAAATAAAAGACTATTTTTCATGAAAATAATATTTTAAATTTTTTTATAATGAAAGTAAGTTATATAAAGATTTTATCTTGAAATGTTCCATTAATATATATATATATATATATATATATATTATTCCATGCAAATCAGTAAAGATTTTATTTTTATCTTTATATTTTTATTTTCGCAAACTAATAGAGATAAAAGCATACTTAAGGAAAATAAAAATATAAGAATAAAAATCAATTTTTTACTGTTTTGTATAAAAAAAATATATTTATAATTTTTAAAATTATTATTTAAATAAGATGTATGTTCTTTTTCCAAAAACTTTAAAAGTTCAAAATATATTAAACCCTGGAGTTAAATTTCCAAATATAACTTTTGAATCACATTTAGAATTAAACTTTTGAACAGTCCGATCAATTTCAGAATTAAAATTTTAGAAAGTTGTTTGAAATAAATATGTAATTTTAAAATTTATTAATAATTTAACATTATTTAAGAGTCGACATTAAAATTAGTTTAAGAGTTAATTATATTTGTATTTTTTAAATTTTGATGCCTAATTAAATTCGTTTTTCTCTATAATTAAATTCGTTTTTGTCTCTAATAATAATTTTTTAATTAAATTTTAAAAATGAATAGAAATAATATTTTTAATTTAAATTGTGTTAAATTATTTTGATATATTAAAAGAGCGTTTTAAAATAATATTGGAATTGTTTATAATATTTGACACAGTTTAAATAATTTAAATATTTTTTTAACACTTTATGGCATTAAATTATTAAAATTACATATTTATTTTTAGAATTTAAAAACCAATTTATATTAAAAGTTGAAAGAGGAAAAAATTCAATTTCACAGAAAGTTAGAAACTAAAAAAACAAAGAGGTGATTCTTAGTTTAAAAAAAATTCTTCCTTCAAAATTCGAAACTGTTTTAAAAAAAACAATAACAAAAATTCTAATCTTTAAAATCAACAATACCTCATGATCAAATGTAAGAAATTGAGGTAAAAAAAACATGATCAAAATAAAGGTGATGTTTCGTAAAAAGAAAAATAAGAAAACACGTCAAATTTATATATTTCTTTATTGGATAATGATATTTTGACAACATTTTAACACTATTTTCGTGTTTTGGTTCATGTTGATGTTTATGATTATTATTATTGATTGTGAAGTAATTTTGGATCAATCATAGAATAATACGTAGATAATATTAAAATGTTATATAAAAAATGTTGTAAAAGTATTATTATTTTTTTTTTCAATTTTGAATTTGAATCTTACTCGACAGGGCGTAATTATGAAAATAGATTTCACTAAAGGAATTGATTTTTTTGGAGAAAAATAATCATCACCAAGAATCAATTAATAGCAATAATATGATTAAAAATAAAAAACTAAAGAGTAAATTTGGTGCCGTGAAAAACAGGGTAGACTTTTCATGGTTGCATCAGACACCTAACCCCACTTCTACAAACCATAGTCAAACTTCACAATTAAATGTTTCTGTTTCTTGTTATTATCATTTTAATTGTATTTGGTTTTAGAATCTCTTATTTAGAGAAAGTTCAAAAATTAAAAGTAGGGTACCAACTCCATTTCTTAGGCTTTCTTAAATAAAGTTTATAGTTTGTATAATATTTTTTAAAATAAATATTTATGAAAAACAAACATTATTTAGTATATTAATAAAACTTTAGTGGAAGTTAAAATAAATTTGTCCACTTTATATTTTTCTTATCTCTTGTCTAACTTTTTCATAAGCTAAAGTGAACAAGTTAATCATAATTTAGTTTGAATGAAATTTGATTAATTTTACATCTTTTTTTTATTTATCTACAAACACTTATGGGTAAATTTAGTTAAATTAAGTCTTTTATGTGTAAAAAGGGAAACTATAAAAAGAACTTTTATGAATAAATTTATGTAATATACTTCAACTTCTAAAAACTAATTTTATTTTATTTTCATACTTTTTTTTTTACTGTTTTAAGTTTAAAGATTATCTCACGGCTCGTTGAATTCAAATTTCTTGAGTTATATATATCCACTCGAACAACTCTGCAGCTTTTGTTTGATGTAAGAAGAAATTTTCCTAACAAAATGGCACCCAAAGAAGAAAGATCAATGAAAAATGCCATAAAAGTGGATAACTTTCTGGCTGAGGAACCATGAGTTCGTAACATAAATACAAAAAATCGATACCTATGTTTAGTTACACACACACCCTTGTATTGTAGCTAATCATAATCACGGGGTCCATGAGCAAATGATTGAGATTCCTGCTGCTGCACCAGCACTGCAAGCTTCCAACAAGCACAAATGTTACAGTTATAATGCACAACCAGTGTTCGTTATAATGCTCACAACTGCCACTGAAGATGAACAGGTTGAAACTTGAAATGTAATTAATTGTATTATTCAGCCAATTATCTGTTGGAAAGAGACAAAGAAATTTGTAACAAAAGGGATGTAGTGAAAAGGTTGTTAAGAAATTAAAAACCGTTTGATAAGGACCTCCAGCGGTGTCTGCTATCTTAAGATACTTGTAATTAGGCCAATGTACCTACCAGAAAAAGGGTTAATTTTGAGTTCAAACCTCAATTGCAAAAGGGGATAGAATTTTAGCACGTGTGTTCAAGAGCCAAATTGCAAAAAGACAAGGGATTTCAAAGATGAAAGTGGCATTCCTAGCTATTTCCTTAATCACAACTGCATTAACAAATGACACCTTCTGTGATGTGAAGTGGCAACAAACTTGGAAAGGTTTTGTTATATATATATATATATAAAGTATTCCTTCAAAGGAAATATCACCTATTACTTATATACTCAATCCCCTACCACCCTTTTTTGCCTTTCTCTGACTTTTACATTTCCTTCTATTTTTCATAATCAAGATCAACTGCCACAAAGAAACGTACATATAACACAAACTAGCACCCTCCTCCATTAATGGTGGAACCAAGCTGAAAGCGAAGGTGTCTTCCTCACACCTTTTTTTCTCTGTTTCTGCATGTTTATGAGTCATTCATTAAACACAGCTTATTCATCATCATCTTTCATAAAGAGAGCTATTCAGTTCTTGCATTAAACTGATTTATCTGCAGATTCTTTATAGATGATGACATGTAGGAGATTTAGTTGTCAAGGGTTGGAAAAAGTTTCCTTCTGATTCGTGGGCTAAGGCTTTAAGACTGCAATATCACTGTGAAGTCTGAAGGGTGAAGGTGAAGTCCTTTTTGGAAGGTATTTGGTTAATACTTTAGCTTTTTGCAAGAACTGATTTGAACACTGCATCCCTCTTAAACACTGAAAGCTGCAGGCTCACATGATCTACATATCTATACATATCTGTGTTATTTGAATTTTAAGCTAAAAAATAGTAGTTTTTGACCATGGAAACAATCCAAAGGAAAACTCGTCAAAAGGGGTCATTAAAAGGGAACCTTTTGAAAGGCTACAAAATAGATAGGTAGGTAATCTATACTGAAATTGGTTTAGTAGTGACAAATTATGCATGAATCCATTTAGTGTACTATTGTGCATGGTTGATGATGGTCCTCCAATGTCAAAACAGGACAAACATGTGATTCTGTAAAGATATTGTTTGCATTCCCCTTACGCAGTATGTGGTACTAAAATGTAGTATGAGTTGGCTCTAAAATCTAGCTGCTGCAGTTGCTCTGCTACTCATTTTTCTCTCACTTTCATGAACTGTCACATGTAGCCACTGCACAAATAGCTCCTTCACGTTTCACGGGTTCTCCTTTTCACTATGCGTTTTTGTCTGATGTGAAAATTTTATAACACTATCTTCGACAAACATTCAGGTTCAAACCATCTGAGGGATCACTTTCTGCAACAAAATAGTCAAACTTGGTGCACAAATTGCTGGGCCATTGTGAGATTCATGTCATCTCATACATAACTCACATGCATCTTAAATAAGAGTCTTCAAGTTCTGAGTTCTTTTGAATTGCAATTCTTTTAGTTAATGGCCCTTTTATGAAAAAAAACGCTTTTTTGTGTGCTTTTTGAGCCTTAAGGAATTGAAGTCTTGGCTTATTCACGAAACGCACTTTGTTTTGTGTCTTTTCACGCAAATTAAATATTGAGATTCCGTAGCTCACTTTTTTCTTTTAAAAGTAATAATCATACTTA